AATGTAGACTTTGTTCACTCCAGCATCTTTATGACTCAGGGAGACTGAAACATTTGTAAATATTCTTTTTTTTCAGCAGCTGGCCAGTACAGGTATCCCAACCCTTGACCTTGGGGTTATCAACACCACGTTCTAACCAACTGAGCTAACTAGCCAGCCATTGGTATATATTTTTCTATCGGTCCAGGAATTGTTATGTCTCACCAATGACTGATACAATCCCGGACCACAAAGAGTTTGGAAAAGGAATACAATACTATCCAAACATTCATTAATAAATATTTATTGAGGGCCTCTTAGTGTATTACATGCTATGAGGGAACAAGGTGGCTAAACCAGACATGGATCTGTCCTCAAGTAATTCACATGCAGCTTAGGGTGACCAGATTTAGATATGTAAATAATTATAGTACAGGATAGATAATGATTCATGCTGTAAGCAGGGGTACAAAAAGACTCATAACAGATTTCATTGGAGGAAGTGACCAACCTTAAAAATTTGTACATCAGTAATTTTCATTGCTTCATTTTGAATCCCCAAGTCCCAATGTACATATTTCTGTGGGAGACCATCTGAGTGTAATAATAAAAATTGCTACTGAAGAATCCCTAATAGAAAGTATTCAAACTGTAGCATCTTTCTGGTACTTAAGAGCCCAACAAGCTTCAATAATACCCATCACTTGGAGTCCTGGTCTCTTCCAGATGTGGCATCAGGCTACCTGGATCTGGGTAGTGAGGTAGTAATTTGATGCATGTAAGAGGTGCTACAGCTTTCAAAGCCTGTTTCCATCCATTATCTGTTAATTATTATCCCTGCGGACAGCCTGGCACCATACAAAGGGCAGCCAGGACAGCACGGTTCTAATTCTGTAGTTTTCTCTGCTGTAAAATGAGGGGTTTGGTGACTAGATTCTCTCCAAAGTTCCTCTTGTGGCTAGTTAGATAGGGAAAATTTTATCATCACCATTTTACAGATAGGGAAACTAAGGTCAGGAGAGCTTAAGGGACTTGCCCAAGGCCCCAGGTAATAACTAAAATCCAACACTTGAGATTAGATACCAGACCTCACAAGCAGAAAGTATATATTCTTCTATATCATACTGAGAACCACACCTTTTTGGGCAAGAGTATAAATAAAGGTCCACATAACATTAATGTAAGTATTTAAGTTATAAACCAAGATAACACTGTTAAACAAAATATGATCTATTCTTCCACCTTGACAAATACCTCTTCACAAGGACCTGGGCAGTCAGGTATAAATTACGAATTCTTGGACTCTTCCAAGGGCCAGGCTGGAAAGCGTCAGGGAAGATAATGTCCCCAATTAATGTCTCTTCCTGCACCAGGAGGTGCTCAAAGCACCTGGGAGTGCACACCTCAGCCTACAGGTCCAATCACAGTCCACACCCCCAAAAAGAGCCATTTCTTGAACACAGGAGTGAGTTCAGAGTCTCAGGTGGATCATGGAAGTGGGTTTGGCAGGATTTGGGCAGGAATTCCAGGGCTCTGACTACCTGGAACACGGTCTAGGAAAGGGTTCAGACTCCAGATGGGCCATCATCTTGACCCTGTGGGAAGGCGCACTGCCAGAGGAGAGCCAGAAGGTGGCCACGGGCAGAGGTCCCTCTTGCTTGGGTTTAAGAGCTAGTCTGCTCACACTGCCTCTAAGTTCAACCTAAGAAAGAGTAAAATTCGGGAATTTTCCTGTGAGGAGGCACTAGGCTTAGTGGTTGAGACCCAGCTCGACAGCCAAACACCTGGACTAGAATTTAGCTTGGCCACTCTCCAGCTGTGAAATCTCAGGCAAGTTACTGAACATCTCAGGGCCTCAGTTTCCTCATCTTCAAAATGGGTATAATAATAACTATTACAAGGAGTTACTGAGATATTACGCATAAAACGCTTGGCAGACATTCAACTGGGTAAATGTTGGCGGGGAATCTGCCTCAGAGAGAGGTTTCTTGGAGAATTATGCACACACGATTATTCCCAAGCACCCTGACAGTCAAGGTGAAAACCCTCTCTTCACCAAATGGCTGGCCGGGCTCGGGGTTGGGCACCACCCACCCCACCCAAGGCGTTGGCTGCTGCCCACGTCCCTCCTGGTCCCGTGCCCAAGGGACGCTGCGGAAGAGCACGTTAGGAGATACAACCAGAGGGCTGGAGAAGGTCACCTCGCAGACGTGGCTGTGAGTCACGCTGGGACTAGCAACTGAAACCAAGTGTTAGCACACTGCCCGGGTTCATCCCTCCCCTACGGATGGTCAAAAGGCGGTGGCAGGGGGGTCGGACAATAAAGGCAGGACAGGGCGCCGGGGCTGACGCCCCCTCGCCAGCCCTCCGCCCGGGACTCGCGCGCCGGCGCTCAGTCTGCAGACAGGTCCTGACGTCTCTCCTCAGCGAGGAGCGACGAGACTGGGAACAAGTTGGGGCATCTCCCTGGCACCTCCTGAGCGCGAGCCCAGCCGAATCTGGCGACTGCACGCCCCACAGCAAAGACGCTTCCTAAGAGGCAAGCCCGGACATCCCCCACCCCTGTGGCTGAAACCAATTCCAAGTGGCCTATTCCTCATCCTATCCCGTCCCCCTCCGTGCAAGAAACTTGGCAACTTTGCTGTTTCTTGAGGACCAAGAACTGTAATCAGCCCTTTCTGCTCCCTTTAAGGGACAGTCGTGACTGGGCACCGAGAAGTCAGACTCTCTCGAAAACACCAACAAAAGACTATATTTAGTTCTGAGCTCTCCGCCTAAATTCCTCTTCTTTCTTCACTCCTCGCTTCCAAACGACTGGGGTGGGGACGTGGGAGGGAGGGGGCGGGGAGCGGCAGAGAAAGAACAGCTGTGCCTCCGCCTCTCAACTCAGGCTCTATAAATAACCAATCGCGAGCGGAGGCTACTTTTCAGCCAATGAAATAGCCCAAACTGATAAAACCTTGGCGGCAGCCAATGGGAGCACACTTGGGGGTGTGAGACTCGCGCCCCGGGACCAATGAGTGCGGAGTCTGGGAGAGGTAATTTGAGCAGAAGTGTGGGTGTGTGGTGCACAAGCTTCCTACTTCCAAACCCGAAATCTGGTCTACGGACTGAGCATGCCCAGACTAACTGCGGGCGCCGCCGAGGCTTCCGGATTGGGATTACATCCGACCTCCGGGTTTTGGTCACAGCCAAGTGGGGAGGTGGGCGGGCCCCACCAGGACCCTGGGACAGAGCTCCGGGCGCCAGAGACTACGCTGCCCTGTCGGGACTAGCGTTTCATGCCCAGGGTTCCTCTTGTTTTGTTTGTCCGGGAGATGCAGGGCAGAAGAGCCGGCCGGAGAGGGCGGCGTAGCGTTTCTGTGGCGAACGGTTTAGAGAGAGCTGTGCGTGGGGGCGGACATGCACCCTGCCCCGCTCCCGCCAGCCGCCGCGCCAAAACGCCCTGCGGTTCTCCGCCCCGACCACACCCGCCCGGGGCTCGGGGCATGGCGTCCGCAGGCCTTGGACAACCGGAGTTGGCAAGAGCACAGCCCACCCCATCCCTGAGGCGACTCGCCGCGCCCCCATGCTGTTCGGAGAGCTGCCGCCCTGGTGCACGGACCCCACCCCCCGAGCCGTGTAGAAGGAGGCCTCCGCCTCCCGTCGGAGTGTTCCCAGCCCCACACACTTATCCCGATCCCAGACTCGCGCCGTTCCCCAATCCGCTTCTCCGGACCCAAACCGCGAGCCCCGCCCCCTCCGGC